CCATTCCGGCTGAAACAGTGTAGAAAGCAGCAGCCAGAAAGCTTTAACGCATCATGTTAACAGACCCAAAGCTCCTTGAAAGCAAGGTCAGACCTTGAGAGGTGGTTCAGGTAGCAATGCTGTGAAATAACACCCTGAAAAAGTCTCAAAGCACTTTAGCTGTGTGGTAAATGCCATTATTGAAATCCCATAGATGGGGAAAAGGAGGTAAAGTGAGATGTAGTGAATTGGACTGGCACCTAGCAATGAGCGACCTGATGAAAGCACCCTGATCACTGCCCTCATTGTGCTCTGCCTGGAGGCTCAGACTCCAGTGTGCTGCATCCCCATCCTGGAGCTGAGCCAGGACACATTGCTGCAGGGGATTCAGCCCCTGAGCACCCCGAGATCTTTGTGGGTGCTTCACATCTGGACTGGAAAACACTTCCAGCACTGCGGTGCGGTACATGGAGACAGAGGCTCCCCACTGCAAGAAGGTCAAAGATGCTTAGACCAGTTCTGAAGCTGAGAACACGAGGGTCCGAGGGGGTAATGTGCTGTGTTGCAATTGGTAACACATTCACAAAGAGAGCTTGTGTTTATGGGCTGGGCTATAAATATTCCTTTTTGAAAAGGCATAACTGGAAAAATGTCTAAATGTCTATTTTTGCCTCCTCTGCTTCACCCACTCGAAACATTGACATCATACCAAGCTCCTACTGAGACAGAGTCATTCCTGAGACCCGGAACGGTACAAATGTACCCAGCTTCAATGCTGAGGAAAGGAAAATAAGCATCTTTGTAGCCTGGGAGGATGGACAGAGCAGCGCCTGGGGAGGGGGAATTCTTAATTCTTCCATGAAAATGGCAGGTTTTCCACTGCTCTTTAATTCCAGTGAAAATGACTCAGCAAAGCTCAAGTCCAGGCTGTCACAGCTTTGCCCTAGGCTTACCCAAGCTCCAATGCTATTCCAAGAGCCTTCCAGCTACCCAGGTTCAGCCTTATGACAAGTGATTCTCTCTAATCTCCCCCTCAATTTCATATATCCCCACAGAACTCACCCCAAGCTGCCACTGAGGAAAGAAATCCACCTCTAAGGGAGAGTAAGGCAGTTTACAGCAGGCTGTGACCCCATGGCACTCACCACAGCCTTCATGAACTGCTGCAGATGATGAGAGAGCAGCAAACACCAGTAGCTCCATCACCTCAGTGTCTGCATCACCTCCCCACTGCCTGCTCAGGGTGGTGAGGACAGGATGAGCACTGCTGGCAGTGCTTGGCATGAGCCATGAGCTACTAACTGTAACTGCTGGCAGCAGCTCAGTTCCTCCAGGGCTCAAACATGAGCACTTGTAGAGGGTAATGGCAGTGGGTGCTCCCTGCCTGGAGCTACTGCTGGCACAATGGGCTGTGTAATGACAGATGAGTCAAGTGGCGAATGCAGACACGAAGCCGTTTGGGAAACACCTTGGTGCTAGCTGGGCAACTCTTATCTCTGTTCACAGCCAACTCTACTTTCTACCTGCTGTGCTCCCAATAGTGGTAAAGCAGCCTGAGATGAAAGGTTTTCAGTGACAAATCCTCCAAGAAAAAGCTCCATCTATGAGGTTAAAATACTAGGCTAGAGGCACAAACACCACACAGACCTGATCTAGGGACCAGACAGCAGCACCCTCCCAGAATCAGCAGCACTGATGCTGCTGAGGGTTTGTCACCTTTGCGCCATGCTGTAGGTCCATGCATCTTTCAGCAGGGCAGGTGTCTCACTCAGAGAGAGACATTAGTGACATGCTCAGGAACAGCTCTGGAACACAGTAACCCCCAAATCCTCAGCAGCTTTGCATCCACTCAATCCCTCATCCAAGCCCCAAAGCAACACTAAAAGCCTCAGCAGCGGTCCCCAAGCCACAATGGTCACCATTCTCCTCAGCTTTCTCATCCCATTCTTGAGTGCTGGCATATATATGACCATACTCATTCCTGCAGGAAATCAACTCCTGTTTGCTTAAATAAGGCAGTCAGCACCTGGCTTCTGTCTATTTAATAACCTGGGCATCTGGTTTCAATACTGCAGGCAAGGAGCAACCACAGCAAAATAAGAGTCATTTAGAGCTGCAGTTAGCTCTGGGCCCCCAGCTGTATATTATAACAACTAAGTAGGTGCTGCTACATCTGTTGACAGAGGCAGGGGGGGTCAGTTCCACCCCACCTCCAAGAGACACTCCACATCTCCTGTCCTCAGATCCCCGGTGTTCCCTGGTGCCACATCCAGCATTACGCTGATGCTCATCCCTGCTATAGAGGAACTGAGACAGAAAAATCAGTTAATGTATCCAGTGAGGAAAGGAGGAGAGCAAAGAACAGCCTGCAATGCCTCCACCAGCCCTGGACTGGACCAGGTTCCTCACCCAGACAAGACACTGGTGCAGGGTTGCCCTGGGACACCTTCCCACAATGAACTGAACACATTCAAGCACTTGTGTAAACACTGCACATGCAAAAGACACAAGAAAATGTTTTCTCAGTCACGTCAGTTGCCATTTCTGGCTCTCTAGGGAATGTTTCAACCTTTTTCTATACCATTTCTCACCACAGAACTGCCCATAAATAACTCTGGTCTTCCACCTGCAGAATGAGAAGCCATTCCCCTAGGGAGGAGGTGTAATAGTGAAAATGGTTTAACACAGGCATATGGACAAGGCTTTACCAGGGCTAGTAAAGCCTCTGTGTAGGCACGAGAAGGAAGGTGGGTGTTTTACCTTCTCACCATCCCTGAGCTGTGCAAACACATACAATTCACCCGTGCTTCAGCATCCTCTGCACAGGCAGAGCTGGCCTACCATGAACCTAGAGACAAGTTAGTGCTGTGCCGCCTTCACTGGGAATGTGTGGTTGCAGAGCAAACCAGTAACCATGAGAAGCTTGGACAGTGATTCACATCACATCTAACACCTCTTCCACTTGCTTCAGTACACCCCTCCCTCCCCAAAACCCAATCCTTGTGTCAGCAGCATACATTGATGCTATTAAATAGGAACCATCAAGCCCTTTACAGATGGTGACGCCTGCACAGCAGGCTTGATGCCAAGAGGGTGCAGGGGGACAGCACCCACAGCCCCCCATCCGTGAGCAGGAAAGACACATCCCTATGTGTCATAGATGTGACACATCTATGATCCATAGCTGAGCCTCCCACTATTGCTGCAGTCACCCCATCAGCAAGGAGGCAAGAAAGCACCATCAACACATCCCTTTTCCAGGATCCCTTGATACCAACAAAAGAGCCCGAGGAAAGAGCTGGAAATGGAGGTTTATTTATTTCTTCCCAGTTCTGTGGCTTGTGACCAAAGCCACGGGTTGGCAGGAGGCACACTGCTGAGCACAGGGCTTGTGACGTGCTGATGTGCAGGCACAAGGGGGGCGAGTTTCCCAGAGCTCAAAATAGAGCAGGAACAAGTTTATTTATACATCCATAGAAAGCAGTGATTTCCCTTTTGTTTGCATTTTCCAGTTCTTTACATTCCTTTCTTGCCGAGGTCCAACGTTGCTTCCCAAAGCATTCAGCCAAGGAGTGGCACTAGTCCCATCTCAAAGTCACACGAGCTGACAGCAGCAGTTGGGAACAGCACATTAGATGCATCACCTGATCACAAATACTCCTGATTATTAGTTGTTTATAACTTCAGCAGTTTTCCAGGGCAAACAACTACCTCAACCTGATACAATTTTGATTGAAAAAAACATCAATTTATTTCTTTCACCATTTTTCACCAAGGAAGGTGGTCATAGAGATGGTACTAGAAAACTGGGTTCTACCTCTCAGCCAAAGAACAATGAGATGGTGCCCTTGCAAATAGATTTAAGTAATCTAGCAACATTCCCCAGCCCTGAGCTGGCATGTGCTAGCATTGGAGACCCCCAGTATATGATTTCCAGTATCACATAAAACTAAGGACTTGCAAGAAAAAAAAGAAATCACATACCCCAGCAATTTTGACCTTAGCGTCTCTGCTCATCTGTAAAAGTAGGAAAGGACTAGCAGGTCCTTCATCAGCTGGCTGATAAGTTTTGTTACTGCATTGATCTTCTTTTAATTTACTTGTATGCATGAAAGCAGCACATGCATTGATACATACATATGGAAAGTCCAGTAAATGCAATTTGAACAGACCTCACACCCTAAGGACAGACAGGCCATGGGAAAAGGGATAAAAGTACAAGCAAACGCTCATTGTAAACTCCTCTCCCTTCCAATCCATGCTCCTTCAGCAACATACAGCTTCAGTATAGATTCTCAGTGCACTTTTCCTCCGGTGACCAGCATCTCAAGAAGATGCAGATGCACAGAGTCCCCAGAGACCATCACCCCCAGCCAAATCCCCACAGTGGTACTCAGCACTCATGCCAGCAGGGTCACAAGGCGCAGGAGAGCAAAGAACTGGGTCCTGTGTGTGCAGGGCTGTGTGGGCACACAGGCATCTCCATCTCCATATTGTGCCTCTGCACTGCACCCTTTGTGGGGCATTTCCAAGCAGCAGAGCAGCAAACAGCTAGTGATGCATGTGAAGCAAGTTCAATAGGAAGAGGTTCTTGTTTTCTTCGGACCTGAGAGCAGACAAGCAGCAAAATGCAACACAACCACCTTCTGTGCTTGTCTGCTTTCACTCAAACGGGGCTTTTAAGTAAAGAGTCACAAAGTTAAGTGCTATTTGCATGTGTAGTTTAATGCGCTCTTGAAAACACCTGAGAGCATCTTTTTCTTCTCTTTGTTTCTAGCTGCAGACAGATCATTCTTTCTTGCTGGAACTTGCCAAGGAGCTGCATGGTAGCACACATGGAGGTTTTCTTGCAAAAATAACCCTACAGCAAGCACTTGTTGATGGCAAACTGCTCTCAGGCATGAGTATTCCTACAGAACCGCTCCCAGCCCCGGGGATGCTACCTCTCCTCGGCTTTGATGGCACTTGGGTTTCCTCCTCAGAACCGGTTTCCTGAGGCTCTTCTCCAGAGTCTGTCTCTCCTGACCTGATGTATAAATCCCTTCTCCATTCATCCTGCTCAACGAGCATCTTGACGACGGGGGCTGTGTGGGTGACATAGGTAGGCTGTGGCCAGTGGCGCTGGATGAGGTGGCTGGGCAGACCGAGGTTGGCTGAGGGCAGCTCGTGCTCTGGAACCCAAGAAACAGACACCATGAGAGCACAGCCAGTTACCTCCTGGTTTCTTCCCTCTCAGTGAACAGGTAGAAAGAAGGATGCCTTTGGTGACACCAAGGATACTCTTTGGAGCCAGAGACCATGGTTAAGATCAGTGATGGCTTTGCTATGGCCAGGCAGCACCAAGGCACAGCAGTGCCATACCAGGTAGCTACTCTGCATCAAGACTTAAATAACCCATACAAGAAACACAGATGATGTCCATCATAGCTAGTTTTTGTACCTTTATTCCTATACTTGAGCACAGGGTGTGATTGCATTGACCAGGGAAGAGCTGCAGAAGGTCAGTATTACACTGATTAGCACAGTAGGAAAGAAAAACGGGTGGAATCAGCAGTTTTCATTTCTGCAGCACTGACCAACAGCCAAGCTAACACACAGAAGGACAAGACCACACTGAAGATCTTCAGTCTCATCTTTCTGCTTTAAGCCCCTTAAATCACTCAAGTCTTATAAGCACAAAGCCACAAGGTTGATAGAAACGCCTGGAGGGTTTTAGGCTGAGCCCACTTGGGAAGATGTTAGTGCAAAGGAAGCTTCAAGGCAGAAAATCCAAGGAAAAAAGCATCACGCAGAACAGGAAGATGCATTCAAATAGATCTTGGAAAGTGAGATCATCAGCATTAGTATTTTTAGATACAAGGCTTTTCATAAAACCAGCTTGTTTTCCTTAGATGTCATCAGTCCTGTAAGAGTTACATAGCATAAAAGCAGAGTTTTCTGTCTCAGATATTTTATTTTTCACTAACTTTACCTAATGCAACAGTTGGCAATTCTGACTAGATACTCAAAGCAGTAAAATGCAATCTTGTTCAGCACAACCAGCTAGAATAAGATGGTAGGGAAGTCCTGCTGATGCAGGCTCCCCTGAAGGTCCATTGCTGTCAAAGGCATGAACATCCATGCTACAGCATGTTTAAAACTGGTCTGTAGCAAGCTCCAAACAGCAGCCTGCAGGCAAGAAGGGAAGGAAGAGGAGAGAGACGGAGCAGCTAACCTGCCATCAGTCTTTTCCTTAAGATATCCATCCTCAGAGTTTGTGAGTCCCCCATACACGGTGGACACGGCAGTCCTAAGGAAATGGGGCGACTCATTTGCCCTCAAAACAGTCAAGGACACAAAGAGGCTGCTGTGGAGAGGAGCAGAAGCAGAGCATGGTCCTATAAAAGGGCAAGGCTATTTGGGTTACAGATGTGGAAAGCCTGATGAACAAAATGCTGCTAAATATTATTCTTTAGATGCTTTGTGAAGCATTTCATACATGAAGGCCAAGAAATACTTGTCACATCTGTAGTCCTGTTCACCAGATGTCCCCAGAGGGCACAGCAGTCCTTGCTTTACCCTCATACCCAAGAGGGGAGGAAAGAGGCAAACTGCTTCAGGTGGGGTTTACAAACCTGCCTGTTCCTATATCACTCAGGTGTAGGTGGAAAGCCTGGTCTTACCTTTCACTGGGCACTATTTCCTTCTCTTTTAATTGGGAATCATTCTGCCTCTTTTCTCCCCTTCTCTCCCTGCAGAGGGTCAGTCCTTTGTGACCAAGCTGTGCATATCAGGGAAACAGCTAGAACAAAACCACACCAGGGTTTGTTAGGGCTCTGATATTCAGCTGATACCCAGGGTCCTCATCAGAAAAGCATGCCAACTTTGGGTGTTCAGAACAGGGACATGCAGGGGCAGAGCCGCAAACATTTTTCCTAAGGTCCCACCACAAGCTCCTGGCTGAAATTAAATACTCTCATTTCTCTACAACTCAGGGCTCCAAGCTTTTTGTTTTTAAAGAAACATGCTGCTTCAGATTATCTTTTGCTAAAGCCATAGGGACCTAAGGAGGGAGGAAAAGCACGTTTTCAGTGGCTTCTGCACCAAGATGCATTTTTGCAGGCTCCCAAGCTCAAGAATGTGCATCTCAGACACAGTTCCTGCACCCTATGTCCATGCTGTGGCTGGTGCCAGATGGTCTCTGGGTGTGCAAAGCATCAGGAATTTGCTTTTCCATAAGCTGTGCTCACACTGAGCTCTGCCTTCATGTTCTCCCCCTGCCCAGCCCCTCTGGCTCTCCTGCTAATGTCCACTGACAATAGCTGGTCTTCATCCTATCCTAACAGCACATCCAGGCAGGACAACCCCATGAAGCTGATAGCCCAGATCAGCCAACGGGCAGCGCAGGCTCTTCCCCAAGGTTATAAATAGCAGCAGCATGAGATGTTATCAGAAAAACAGAAGTTTCCATATCAAAAAGGTTTCCCTGCAATGATATTGCCCTGAAGTTGCGCTGTTCTGTACCTGTGCTATACACACACAGACACACTCAGCTTTACCATCAGGAAAAGCCCAACTGAAAAGAGTCTGGCTTTAAATTGTGACAGTGGCTTTAAATACAGACAGTGGCACACTCTGTGCCTAAAGGAAATGTTTGTTTTGACAAGCTGAGATAGTCCGTGTCTCTTCAAAAGTCTGTTCTGACTCACCACTTGTGGAGTTTTTAACCCTTGGTACAGAACTGGTTTACAATTCAGCTCATCAGGCTAATGCACATAAAGCAACTACGAAAGGGTTAAGAAAAAAAAGCCTCGTTAAAGGACAATTTAACTCTTTTCTAAGTGTTTCTGCTGACTGGGGAGCTCTGCCTCAGCCTGTCCTCTAGAGACTGGAAAGACAGCGTGGGACCCCCAGCCTCAAAAGGGTTCCACATGCCAGGAGCTGCTCTGAGCAGCAACTGCAGAGGACACATGACAGCAAGCATGTGTTTGAACTAAAGCACTGCAACCTGGTGGATAAAACAGCAGGTCAGGCACCAAACACCACTCGTGAAGCACAAAAAGAGCTGATCTGGAGCCCCTTTCTGCACTGTTATAGTCTGTGGCTCAGGTCTTTGTAAGATGAATAAACACAGGGAGTGAAGCCTGGGCACGCAGCCACCGCACGGGGCTGAGCTGTAAATTCAATCTAGCAGTAACAAAGCCCATGGAAAGAACGATGTGAGCCCCAGAGGCACAGCAAAACCTCCTCTCCTGTTCCCAGGCCAGCCCCAAACAGCTGCTAGATGGGTGCAAGGGCCATGACCAAACCAGCAGCACCAGCTCCTAACACATGTGGGTGAGGACCACACCATAAGGAGATGGTGAAGCTGCTTCTGCACATAGCCCCAACACAGGATGTGTTGCATGTTTTGCAGAGCAAGCTAAGATCCAGCCAAGTCCCTTACCCAAACAACTGTGCAGTGATAAGGCAATGAGTGAGCACAACAAGGTGGTGAATAGAGAAGGACAAGGGTTACAGTGCTAAGATGTGGCTCCAACTCTTGCACACCTGGAGAATTTACCTTTACTGTACCAAGCCAGATGTTCTTGATGAGAAGAGGCTAGCTAAGCTCGTAAGTTCAGGGAAGGAGGACACATGCATGCACTAGGTATGTATCCTAATATTTCAGTGTTTGCACAATATTATTTGATCCTGGATAAATACTGCTACTTATATGATATACACCTGATTGCTGCAACATCATCTCACAGGGCAATAAAAAGAGTTTCCTAAATGGTGAGGAAAAAGAAGCAGTGTGGTGGACAGCAACCCCAGTTTGGATATTTGATGAAGTGGGAACATTAGGTGACAAGATAAAGTTTGGCTACCCACCACGTGACTTTTACTGTGTATTTCTGGGAGCTAAGGTGCAAAGAACCTCAGATAAGGCCACAGGATCTGCTTTCCAAGTTGCCCATGCTGGAGTGCTGACACACAGGCTGCTGCAAATCCCAGACATTCCTCCTCTGACCTTATCTCTAGCCCTTCCCAAACTAGCAACGACTAGAGAAGCCCCTGAGAGAAAAGACACAAACATCACCCAGACCACAGAGCCTAAATCCACCAGCTTTCCCTGTATCACATCCCTGCGGAGGTCATCACAGAAGTGACTCCTTCACACCAACAGCGTGACAGGAGACAGCCAAATGCCACGACAGTACTGGGAGCTGAAGATGGGAATGCAAAGCACTGGAGAGAAGATGCCAAGGGAAAGCCCAGAGCTGACAACATCCCAGCAAAATGAGATGGGATCGTCAGCAACCAGTTGTTATTTACAGCCTGTGCTTGGCTACTGGCCTGGACGTGATTGCAGAACCCAGGGAGTAAAGGCTCCACAACATCCCAGGGAAACCTCTAAGTATATCAGCTCCTCTGCTTCACAAGCACGTGCTAGTGAAACCTGTCTCCAGGACTGTCCTGGTAAAGGCTTTCCAGAGCAGAATTGGGTCAGCTTCCCTCCCACTGCAGTAACAGGGTTATTGCCTGCCATATCTTCTGCAAACCCTGCCTGGGCTTTATCTAGAGCTGTCCACACTGCTTTGTTATCTGCTTGTGAACTGTTTCAATGGGAAACACTCCAGCACGCTCCTCTCCCATCCTGACTCCAGCTCAGCATCTCACTGGCATGCACTGGGGAGCTCCATGGTGGGGTTTTCACATTCCCTCTAGGTTGTGGTTCCCAGTGACAGCCCTGACTGTAACACAGCATACCCTGATAACAGACCAGCTCAGCATCAGGTCTGGCTTACCACATACCACCCAATACAACTGAGACAAGGCACACATCTTCCTGGACCACTGTCACAAGCATCAGCCCAGCCACAGGGCCACCTGCAGCCTAACCATAGCTCCTTATGTAGAATACAACCATGACCATGGGTGCCAGGACTTTCCCCCCTCCCTGAACCACCCATTCCCCTTCCATTTCTGCTTCTACCTCATGTTCTTCACCCTCTGCTCTTGCTGTTCATCCTTGGCAGTCAGTGCACTGTGAGAAGACATGATCGGGTTCTGCAAAGCTCTCCATCCACATCCTATCCTGCACTTCTGTTGGGTCTCGAACTCAGTCCACACCCAAATTCACTGATTCCCTTCCCTGGGATAAGTAGCCAATGCCGAATATAAGGACAGACCCTGACTGAAGCAGCAA